GACTTTGTAGCTGTTGCTTCAAAATACAGGAGTTTAATACGTGATGAATGACTATATATGGTTGGTATAATATCATCTGTGTGAATAGCAATTTGTGCTATAAAAACTAACAGGTTTCTAACCTGATTTTCCAATGTAATACTGAGTAAACTCAGTGGTCAAGGTTAGTTTCCTTCTCACCTTTACAACATTAGTAGAATCACTGTAGAATAAATGATGGGCAAGAATGAACTAAAAGGAACTAAATACATTGAGGAGCTGCATTGACACATTGCAGTACACAAGAGTGAAACTATTGATGCAGAGTGAAAAACAGATTTCCCTGAAGTCAATTGAATTTTGTTATTGGATTCCACATTGCCAAAATGTCATTGCCAGTACAGAGCTTGGCTATTTTTACCTTTAATTAATGCACCATTCATCTGTTTTCCTACCCTTCCCCACTTATTTTCTCATCTTCCTACTCTCCCTTTCTCCTTACCTCTCCTTGGTCCCTGTCCTATATCTGCTGCATCTGCAAGGCAGTTAAATTTTAAAATAGCTTTTCCCTTTGAAGTGCTAATACCAGCACTGCTATTTCTATAGCAAGTAACTTCACTGACTGCTGTGGTTTGCTTTTACTCTTTGTTTTGTGTGTTTGTATGTGCATATGTGGATGTTATATGATTTTAAGAGTGAAGTGAAAAAAATTGAAAGAAAGGAAAAAAAAATCTCCCAAATAAATTTTATAAATGAGAGTTAAATCCCAGCTACTCCACATCAGGCTGTGATTTTGTCACATCTCATGAGCTAAGCAGGTTGAACTTGGTGAGTAATTAGATAGGAGATCTCTCAGAAAAGCCCAGGGTGCTGTATGTGGTGCACAGAACATTCAGGAGCTGTGACAGTTCCTTTTCAGAAAGGGTAAATCATTGCTTGTGTTGTTCTTCCTTCACTGAATCCATGCATGACTATGAAACATGACAGGTCTGTGCAGAAAATCTGTTTCAGAAAATAATACTTTTAATACTTTAATGCTGCCGGAAGGTAGGAGGATGTTCTGAAAGGACCACTTTGTACACACACTCATTTACAGCCTTTAACCATCTGGCCAAGGAAAGGAACATAGATGAACTGCACACCAGAGACAGACTACTGGACCTTTGATCAGTTCCAGCATGTGAAGTATTCCATTTTTGTGTATTGTGCACTTGAGCAATCACTGTTGTCTTCTGCAAGATGTCTCTTTTTGGTGTTGCATATGATATGTATGTGTGTTTATTTTAAACTGTCCTTATGTGACCATTCTACACAGTGCTGTGCATTTATTTAGCAAAGTGAAAAATATGCATTCCATTCTTGGATCTTAACCTTAAGGATTTTGTGAGTCCTCACTGATACTGTGAGATTTAGAAAGCTCAGAGATGGACATTTTAAAAATGTTTGCTTCATTCATGAGTGCATTGCATCTTCCACGTAAGTTTTTTCATTGATTTATAGGTACAGGAAAAAAGCCACTGATTAATAATGAAGTCAGAAGTGACATGTGCACTGAGAAAATTAATCACTTGCACTATGTGGATTACTCTCAGTTTCCTTTGGGAGAGATAATTTGAGATAACTGTTTCCTAGTCTGTATAAGTCAGGAATGTACTTATATTTTGATGAGTTTAACAGTGGGTCAAAGCTTGATGCCTTTTGAAAAGCCAGGTCCTCTTGTATGGCTGTTTCTTTGAGACACTTCTGTTTGTTTTCAAAAAACTACAAAGTCCTATTTCCTTGAACGAGGCACTGGAATATTTCTTCACCTCCTGCTCCAAGCCACTTTCAGCCTAGTGCCTCAAAAGACTCTCTCCTTTTCTAAGCTTCTTTCAAGGCACCTGGGGGCAAAGTCAAAAGATACCTGCCTACATTATCTTAATTTTTTTCCTGGACTTGCTGGAGAAGGATGTAGGTGTGTTGGGGAGGTTACAGACACCAAATCTTCATATAGAAGTTGAGAATTAAAATATTTCTCTCCTGTATAGTAATGTCTTTTTGATTTAGCAGGTCCTTGGGGTATTTGAAAGATAGCTAGATATAGCAGTCACAGTTCCCAAAGCGTAAATGATACTTAGGGAACTTAAGGGAAGGCACACCTCTGAAAATATGGGGTGGGAATTCTGTAAATCAATTAATCATGAGATGTATATTTCTAGCTGAGATTTATATCTTTAATAATAGCACGTATATTTACATCTGAGATCTATCACTCCGTCACACAGCTTTGGAACTGTGCCCAATAGTTGGACAAAATGTGGAGGTTTGTTGAATATTTCCATTAGATATGGGAGCTGTTAATAGAGATTGATCTTTTATCAGTGCAGTCCTATTTCTAAGAAGCAACCTTAAAGAAATCTTTCTTGGAGCATAGCAGAAATTATACATATTGAAAAAGCTTTTTATTTTTCAGAGATTCAACCCATGGCAGTTTGTGCCAGCAGCCCAAAATCCATCCAGGTTTACTCCTTGGTACCTGTTCTTTAGCATTAATTTGACATGAGTTTCTACATATTTCCTCTTTTTCTGTATTTATGCACATCCTACATGCATAGCCTACATACATTGTGTCACTTTCATTTGTATCATTCTTAAAAATAGCAAAACCACTCCACCCACTTCATTCTCATTTCTGATCTGGCTTTTTCAAGCTTTTGTTTTGTACAGAGATGTGTAATTGTGTTTGGGGTTTAGAGACTAAAGTCATTTCAGTTACCTGTTTCAGCAAAGGAGCATAATGAGTTCTTACATCTATCTTAAATGAAGAGGGACAGCTATACCCAAGAGCTGCAATGAGGTTTACCTGACCCATAATTTTACAGCATTACAAACCACATTTCAGCTGAAACATCAGGGCTAGCAAAACAAAAATGGTCTTGGTTCAGTATTGTGGTGTAGTGAGTTTTCCTTCCAGTTATCTCATATCTGTTCCTACAGAAGCAGGAAATGCATTGAGGTTCTGAAGGGCAAGCCTGCAGCATGCTTTACTCTTTAGCAAATTGCAAAGCTTCAGGAGGATGCTCAGAGATTGTATACTGCGGACACCAGCCTTGTCTGCAACTTGCCCCAGCTTTGTATAGATCATTTTGGACTGTTTTCAGGGTGAGAGAACTACAATAGAAATTGCACCTTAGTTATATCTGCTCTGATATATCCAGCTCAGCTGGACTAGCAATTTGGAATAATGGTTTTTTGGATCATCTTATTTCTTGCTGTGATTTTTCAGTCACCCTTCCCATTTTCTCTCTTTCTTCAGTTCACTGCCTCTGGTGACACAATTTAAGGTAACACAATTGACATATGAGTGAGAGTATTTAAAACTGAGGGCAATTTTAAAAATCAGAAATAATGTATATAGCAAGGTGTTTCAATTTCAAAAATTATCTACACTTGTTTGGAATGCCTCAGTAACCCTTCAGGAATGACCGAATTACCCCTCTTCCAGAAAATAAGTCAGTCATCTTTCAACATCATTGATGTCCTATCAGTATTTTGTGTCTATTCCTTTACTGTTAGTAAGGATGTCTAACAGTTTTTATGATGTCAGTAAGAAAAAGTAATTTCATGAAAATTAAGGTGTCAGAAATTGCAATCCTCAATGACCAGATAAACATGAGGGAAGATGCACTTCTCTGGAACATTTCAGAGCTGTTAACTGTTTTAAGTAATAGAACTTACCTATGTCAAGCCTTGAGCTTTTATATTATATAGTTCCCATAAGTTTTATAGAGATTGAAATCCACATTTTTCTAGATAATCTGACTTTTATACAGCTGAGAAGAAAGGTTCTTTGGAGAATGAGGAAAGTTGAGTCAAACTCACTCTTAATTAACACTAGTGCTTTGAATACCAAAAGATAGACCTGCCCCCTTATTTGTCAGATATTTAATTCACTGAAAATTAGTTGAAAATCAAGGCAAAAGACACTCTTTATGCCTTGAGTTTTAGTCTGTGCCTCAGACTGAAAAAGAAATCATAATTCATCTGAAACCACAGTTTCCATGTAGTAGCCAGAATTAGTCATAAATCAGACAAACTTCATGAACCTTAACAGATGAATAACTGTGACCAAGCTTTGAATATTAAGCCTTGAATCAAGAAAATGTCCTATGGCCTTCAGGCCAGGGATATTTCATGTAGATGTACTATTATCATTTGCTTTTAGTTTTACTATATCAGGATTGAATCTATCATGCAATATTCTTCCTTCAATATAATTTATTTTCTAGAAATAAACCTAGCTTTCATATGAGCTGCTGTAATTTAGGATTTCATGTCAAATGTAGTGAGCCCTCGGAGAGAATTCAGTGAATGCAATCATAACTCTGATGAATTAACTAGAAGAATTTAATTTTTGTTTGATCGAGATTTCATGCCAAGTCTTAGACAGAGATACACCAAGACCAAATGTCTAGATGTGGCAGCACTGTAATTTGATTCACAACATAAAAATAAATATTACTTGAAATATTTTTAATGAATCTTTGTCCATATAACTTCAAATGTTGTGGTAGTGGAACTATGCATCCATCTTTTCATACCAATAAGGTATCATCAAGGATATATTTCGTTTTGTAGAAACATACATCTCTACTTCAATAAATAGCAATAATATAAGAAGTCCAGGCTTTGAAGTTTTTGGATAGCTACATATTTCTACCACTCTCACTCAGGTGACACATGAATAAAATTGTCCAGGCAAGTGATTCTGTAATAGGGAACCTGGAGAATTTCCAAAATTAAAAGAAATAAGTGAAAAGCATAGAAAATAGGTGCACTCTCCCGCCTCTCTAGACATGGTGATTTTTCTTTGAATTGTAGTACTAGGCCATTTTTAAGTTGGGAATGTAGCACAGCAGATAGACAGCTTTTACCAGGCTACTCATGAGTGGTTTTCTCCTTTGTTTTTAATTATACTGTGTCTTTATCCCAAACTCTATAACAGTTGACACTGTCTCATTTAACACCTTTGCTTTCTCCAGAGTTTAACCTGGAAGCAGTCATCTGTGTGTGGGCAACTACTGAAATGGAAGACAAAACCTGTATAAAAATTGCCAAGTGGGTAAGTACCCACTTCAAAGGGTACTTTGAAGGCAGAGAGATTATGCTGAAAAGAGTTCAATGCATAAATGGAATTTTCTAGATTTGTTAAGACTCAGTTCTTATTTCTATATCCTTTAATAAATGAATTAATAACCTTAGAAACTAAGAAAATGCATAATTTGCTGTTGATTTGTAGCTTGTCGATAATACACACAAAATACTGGAACCAAGAAATGGCACGGTATTATAGGATAAAAAACTTCAAGATTATGCACCAGAGCCCAATAAAATCTTGGTAATTTGAGAGTCAAAATTTGTATGGCATGAGAAGGACTTGGTGTTGAGCACAGGAGAAACTGAAAGCTATCTACAGAAGAAATTCAAGAAAGAAATTGAGGCAAAGCCCACCTTTATCAGTGCTTGAATGGGGGTGAAGAGACTATTGTGGGCATTACTAGTAAGAGTTTACTGGAATGTCATGGGTAAAGCTCTGTCCATCTGTCAGAGTTTAAAAATTACTAATTCAAATTGTAATAGGTCATAGACATCAACAAGGAAATCCAGAACTTGATTTAGGGAAAGAAATTGAAAGAGGATCTGTTTCAACTGAAGAAAAATGTGAGTGTTGTATATAAATATAGCAATAGATGAACAGAAGAGAATAATACTTAGAATGTTCTGGGAAGGGAAACAAATGGGACAATTTCTTATCAGGGGAGCCAGTGGATGTTCAGGCACTGCCTTCACTAGGAAGAGTGAAATGAACTGATTTTAAGATGGAGTACTGGATTGCTGAAGATGTTAGGTAATGTCTGCTAAAAAGCAGAGTTGTGGATTGGTGATTTGGAGGTTTTAATCAAGTTCCATTTTAAAATTTTTTTTCTATTTTTTCAGATGTTTATTGTTTCATCAGTTTTTAGAGGCAACATTTGATTCTGACAAAATCCTTTTTTTTTATTCTTTTTCACAAAAGTAGGTAGAACAATTCAATCTGCTATTATGTAATATCTTGGAACACCAGCACCAATGCAATGAAGTAATATGGTGGATAAAGTTTGTGTTACTCTATTTATGCTTAATTTTAAAAGTTCAAAATCAGCTTTATTTGTGTTCTTTTCCTATGGTACAAATAGCTTCTAATATTCACAGGTACGTTCAGAATTCACAGATGAAAATGGGAAAACCTAGAAAAAGAGGACAATTAAGATTTTTTTCTGTAGAAGGCAAGTAAGTATTATTTTTTTAGAAGAAAATTCAATTGTGATTCTTATGTGCTATTGCGCTGTGTAGTCTAAATGCAGCATTCAAGTATTGAACCTAGAGATTTTTACTCCTGCTATAAGTGCAAACCACAACACAGCCTTAACTGAGGAGTTAATTACTCTTTTGTGTATGAGCAACACAAATCTACAGCATAACACAAAAGGAAAATTAACATGTCATGTAAATGAATCTTTTCCACAAAACTGCTCCACTTTTTCATTTATTTTCTTCTTTCTCCTTACACGGCTTTAAACCTCTGCCTATGATTACCTATCTCAGGGCTTGTGACAATTTGGAGATCTCTCTATGTAAAGCTTATGAACTCTGTCTGGTACTTGGAAACCTCTATATATAGCTGTGTCAGCTTGAAGATTCTTTGCTAATCTAAAATCCACAAGAAGTGATTTTTGCTCCTGGCACATGACCAGTAAGGAATTGTTAAACCATGATAATATCCTGTTCAAATACATTCCTTTGCAGTATGACAATAGGTAGGTAAAGCTGGGCTTATAGATGAAATGAGGCAGTGATAAGTGATAAATCATCTGTTCTATGCAAATTTCATCACCTGACTAGGGACCCACCTGACTAAGAAGGTAAGATGACATCTTGCTTGGTGTTGTAAAGTGCACCTTGTATTAAACATTGGAGGGGGACGGTGGACTTAGATGACTTCTACCTGTGTTTGGAGTGGAAAATGAAGGCAGAGAAATGCAAAGGGTTTCCTGCATTTGACAGCTGTTATAAAACCCTTAAAATCACAGTGGTCTTGTGCCCCTTCAGTGAAGAAACTCAAAGTCCGGCGTACTGCTAGTTTAACAAATGGTGTTTGAAGAAATCGGCGCTGCCCTCAGAAGACGGGCAGCAAAGCTCTGCCGGAGCGCTGGGGAAGGAGCCGGCGTTGCTGCCTCAGCAGACCAGTGCAAGCTCACATGGACACCAGTGATGTGTTGCATGGAAAAACCTGGCTCCAGCAACCGGCGCGTGGCCGAGCAATTGTTTTCACCGAGGCTGAGGAGGGGTTTGGACACATTTGTGCAAACGAGCTTAGTCCTGTGATCACTGCCGCACGGATGCCCGGGATGCTTGTGCTGCCCGGCTGGTCCCTCCGTGCCGGCAGCTCGGGGCCCCGGGCCCTGCTCCAGCGCCAAGGCACCCGGCGGGCCGCTGGCAGCCAGGAGACAAGGAGGGGCTGCAGCTCCCCTGGAGCTGAGGATGCTCCGCGTCCAGCTGAGCGGTGACTGCTGCCCGCTCCGTGGCGCGGAGCCTTCCCAACTTCCCACGGTTCCCTCGCTCTTCCCGCCCGGCTCCCGGCGCGATCCCGCCGGCCGGGAGCGGGGCTGCCGCCCGGGGACCTGTCCGGGGGACTCCGCCCTCCCTCCGGCCGGGCAGCGCACGGCCCCGCGGAGAGCCGGGCGCGGCAGCCGCCCCTCCCTCCGCGCCGGCGGAGCCCTGAGCCGGGGCGAACTCCGGGGGAAGGGACCGTCCCGTGCGCCCTGCCGCCCCCAGCCCCCGCGCCTGCCTCCTCCCCTGGTCGCTGGCGCTGATGAATTAGTCATGATGTGGCTGCTGTTCGTGCATTTATGTGGAGCGGGCTGTGCCCGCGGCTCGCGGCGCGGCGGGTGAGGGAGCGCGGGGAGCGCCGGCCCCTCCGCCCCGCTCCGCTCCGCGCCGGGCGAGCCGCGGCCGCGGCGCTCTCCATGGCTCCGGAGGAGGTAATGGGAGTCGGGACGCGCTGCCCGTCCCCGGCAGCCCGGGAAGGGGCAGGGCAGGCGGCAGGGCAGCTCCAACTTGCCGGCAGGGGGGACAGGGAGGCTCGGGCTGCCGCGGGAGGTGTGCGGGGTGTGTTCGCTTCGCGTCCCCGAGGCTCCCCCAAATCCTGTCCGTGGTTTAAAAATCGCTCTCTTGGCATAAGTGCGCGGGAGCCAGACTCACTTTATCGCCGCTGACGCTGTCGAAATCGCTGTGGCTCCAGCGGTAACAACGGCGAGCCCCCTCCCTGCATCCCTCCCTCCTTCCCTCCCTCCGCCGGGTCACCCGCTCCTCGTGAGAAACCAAATGCTGATGTTCCATTAGCTTCATCCTCCCCGCTTACGCGAAAGTGAGGAAGACTTGCTAATTAATTTACATACGAGGGAATGATGTCTGAAGGAAGGAGAAAATACCCCGTTGCACCTGCTCCGCCGAGACTTGTCATCTGAATCCGGAGGAGAGCTATAAATCATGTGAAGTGTTCGCGGTGGAGTCGGCTTCTTCTGAGATCTGTAGGATTATGTATCCAAATGCTGAATTTATATTTCCCACTAGGAAAAGACCGAAACCCAGGTCAGATATAAACTACATAATTTCATTTAAAACAAAACTGTAGTTATTTATTGTAATTCTAGAGGGGATTTTTTTCTCTGCTGATTAAATAGAAAGTACTATTAGAGCATGTAGTAATGATTTACACATTACAGCCTGAAGTCTCTTGCAGTTGGAGGTGGTGGAGTGTAAGGATGGTGCTTTAGAATCACATATGTCCTCTTATTTTTGCTACACATGAAAAGGCTAAGAATAACCAGGCTGGTTTACCTTATTTTTAGTGTGTACAAACCCGTATTTTCTGAGATACAGGATGGAGGAAACTTGGTCAAGGGATAGCACAACTTCCATTGAAAATGTTGACTTTCTCAACTGCAGCAATTAAAATCTGTCTTCTTTGATTATTTCCACCTTTTGAAAAACTTTAAGAAATGTCATAAGCTACTTTCAAGAATTTCACTTACTGCCTCTAAGGGAATTTGGTAATTGTTTTTGACACTTGTCTGCTAAATGAGCTGATCTGGGGAGACCTACTGTTCAGTAAGATCTTTTGTTATTCATGTGCCAGGTATTTCATAATAAAATACAAAATGACAGCTTTAGTATGATGAGATCATGGTTTCATATTGTAGAAATTATTCATGCTTAATTTTGTGACTTTTTGTATATTTCAGTAGGTTGGTTGCTGACAAACCTAGACTGAGATTTTTTTCATTTCAAAGGGAACTGATTTAGATTGGGGTTAATTGCTTTAGTAGCCTAGTGTATTTTTGACAAAACTGTAAATGGCAAATATTACTAAATTTTTCTGTTTCGCTTATGTAAAAATACTGCTTTTTTGATTAAAAATATGTTATATGTTATAGTTGGATCCTGTACATTGCTTCAGAATGAGGAAATTAAGGAATGTTTGAGCTTTGATAGCACGTGTGATTTGCAAGTTTCATAAGTTGTGAGGTTATTGTAAAAGTGTGTGTATGTGTGTGGCAAAAGACTGCTATGCTAGTAGAAGAAACTAATAATAACACAGAAATCTGTGAGGTAAGCAAGAACATATGAACCAGGCTAACCACTCAATATGCTTACTTTGAGAGTAAGCCTGGATGCAGTAGTTTTCATATCACTGTTCTACAGCAACAAAATAAGGGCGACAAAAATAAGCACAAGCCAGAAATAAAAAGACAAAAAAATCTAAAAGGAGACTAGTCAGGTGGGGAAAACAATTGGAAATCAAGAATTTCTGTCAAATCCAAGACTGTAGGTCATTGTTAAATGAAATCATACTCACATACACAGCATTTTTATGGCATTTAAGGTGGAAGCCTTGGTCTAGACTATAACCAACCAATTAAAAGAGATTCAGTTGTTGAGAATTTGGTTTGTCAAATTGATGGTAAAGGTCAAATGACAGTTAATAAAAGTGTTCATCTTTGGACTTGGAATAAAAGAATAATTTGTTTTCCTTTCAAAATCTTCTTTCTCTAACTGGAAATGTGGTCATGGACACCAATCTACAAAGTGGTCAAAATGTATTAATTAATGAATGTTTATTGGTTTGAGATACCACTATAATAGAAATTATTTTTTTCTGTGTAACTAGTATTCTTCTGGGCAGTGTTTTGGCTTTGCAAGTCAGAAATGAAATATGGGAGTTTGAATTTGGGGTTTGAACAATATATGTCACTGTAAATTTCAGTCCCGTGTACATTTTTGTTTGGCTGTCGAGTGTTGGGTTCACTTTTATTAGAAAAACATTTGCTTCATTTCTAAAACAATATGTGAAAAATCATTTGTCAGCCAGAGGGAGGTGGGGAAATGTGTTCATCCTATTTACCTTACAATAATGACTTGTGTTTGATACAAGGGATTGTGGGCTTGGTGAATGACAGACCCATCTACATTTTCAACATTTGCAATAGGCTGAACACACTTTTTGGGTCAGTAAGGCACAGTGCTGCTCGTTTATTGATGGACACATCTTTGAAAGAGCTGAATGGAGAAGAGTTGGTTGTCTGCAACATTGTTCAATGTTCACTTGTTGCTATACAAATAATTATGTGACACCTGACCAGTAGCTATAGACATGTGAATATGCCCTCTCTATTTTCTGTAGCTGTTCTTGCTTTACCCACTGCCATGGAAAACTTCTGAATGGGCTGTTCAATGATTAACATGTTGCCATGTTATAAAGGGTGGGGATAATGGATGTCTTAGCACACAGGTTAAATTACGTGATTCTGAATAGTGGCAGTGTTTGAGGTGCATTTGCTTTGAGTACAATCAAATTCCCTCTTTGACTGCTGATATAGTAAGCAGGAATTCATTAAACTGGCCAGAAGGGCAAATATTTAATGAAGACCCAAAGAGGCAATATAATTTCTGTATGTTTGCAGTGCACTGCTCTGTTTAGCTGCTGATTAAGTCTTCTGATCTCAAGGAGATCCTCTAGTCATCTGCTTTGATGCAATATTCTGTAAAACCTTTTAAGCTAGAGGGGTAGGAGTTTAAGTCTTAAGATTGTTTTATCTTAAGGCTAAAAATTGCATGATGTCTTCTCACAGCCCTAGTTGAACTTTAGTGGGAATAGTGTGAGCAAGAAGTCTGGGAAGCAGGGGAGCAGAACAGGGAGTAGTTGATCACTGTAGTAATTCAGGGCTAAAGAAAAGACCTTTCTGAGTTAAATAACAATCTTATCTAACTTCATTTATACAGTCATCACAGTCTACCTTTAAGTACATTGCCCTGTTACTCTTTCTGGAAAGATATTTCAAAACCTCTCTCCTAATGCTTAAAGCTTTCTTTGAACTTTCAGCCTAAATATATTCTTTGATTCCTAATTTTTAATCTCTCTATATTGTTATTTAAAGCAAACTCCTTCCTTAGTGTGTAGCTCTCAATAAATTATAAACATTGATCATGTGTCTTTCTCAGCTTTTATGTGCTAGGATCAAACAAGCAGAGCAAGGACCTTTTAGTCTATGTGGCAAAACAGAATAAATAGGAAGATACAGAGGTTAGTAACTTGATTCTCCTGAATTCTGAACCTTGTACCTGAAGTGTTTGCTCAAAGTCCTGAATAAGTCTGCTAATGCTCCACTCAATCTTTTGAAAATACTTTGTCAGGCACTGGTGAATATCAAGTTTGTTTTACAGATAGTCCAGGTTGGTTTAATCTGTTAATAAGTAAACATGGGTGTGTGATTTATCTTTTTGTGTTGTTCTCAAATGATAAGAGACCATCACAGAAATGATCACAGAAATTCTGCTATTCATAATCATGTGGCTTTGAAGAGTATCTAAAGGTTTTCCCATTTCTAATCCTGTGCAAATTCTCCTCCAATTTCTTCTGTAAGTTAGCAAGAACCTCCCCTGTATCAAGAGGGCTTCCTGTAACCTATTTTTATCAAAACACCTCTGCTTTTCACCATGTTTACAGACATGTATTGAGATGAGTGTGAAGAACGATTTTAAAGAAGTCCATTCAATTTAGTCACCTTTATATCAACTTTATTTTTGTGTTTTGTTTGTATTTCCAACTCAATAACTGCTGGGTGATACCATATCAAATTCCTTAATAAAATCTGGAGAGAGTGAATTTTGAATGTCCTTTCTCATAATATTTGCTTTAAAAAGGATTGGCTTCTCCCTCCCACCAAGAATTTATAAATACTGATTAAGATCCCTCCTGAGCCTTCTCCAGGATAAAGTAATTCATCTCTCCCTGCCTTTCTTCAAATTACGGGTGCTCCAAGACCTGTAACTTCTCTGTGCTCTGGATGTGTATACTGGATGTACACATGTCCATGTCTGTTCTTGTACTGGGGAGCCCAGAACAGGAGGCAATATTCCAGACGTGACCTCACTGGTGCTGAGGGGAAGGATCATCTCTCTCAGCCTGCTGGCACTGTTTTTCCTAACACAGAAAGTGTTGACTTTGACATGGGCACTTTGCTGACTCATGTTCAATTTCTTGCCCACCTGGATCTTCCCCATCCTTTAATGCCTATTTCCTTCCCCCTGGTTAGTCCCAAGACTTACCAGTCCACACAGTTATTTCTCTGTGGGTAAAGAACGTGCATTTCTTTTGCTGAACTTTATTTCTCCAGCCTGCTGAGGTCCCACTTAACGGTAGCACAACTGCTCCTTATTTCATGCACTCTCCAACATGCTGAGGGTGCTCTCACTCCCATTATTCTGGTCTTTAAGGGAAATGCCCCCAGTATCAACAGGGGTGCACAATTAGTAATGTTTCCAGCTGAATATTGTGGTACTGCTCACAATCCTCTGAGCCCAGCAATTCCACTGCTTTCCATTTCACCTCACTTTCATGCTTCATTAATAATAATGTAATTGTTAGTAATAATAGTTAGTAGCATCAGTAATATTATTACTACTGCTGTGTGACCAGGAAAATTAACAGATAAAAATATCTGTTCACCATCTTTCCTTTCCTTGCTCTGGTTCAATAGCACTGGCATGTGTGTGTACACAGGTGCACCAATTGAGTTCCCTGTTTGTCTGTGTTTGAGTGTATGACTGTGAATTACTCATACCATATGTTTGACACAGGGAAGATACTATTTTACATCTCATACAGGCACTGCTTTTTTTTTTTTTTCCATTAAGTTTATTTCCCCAACTCATTTTTATAGGTCAAATGAACCTCTGGACTTGTTAGAGTTACAGGGAGTTTGAAATATGTAATCTTGAAATAGATTGCATAATACAGGTGAATAAATTGCTCTATAGGTGATGGTTTTGAAGCCAAATGGCCTTTCATTCAGGTGAAGAAAGTGTGTCCCTTTTGTTAAAAAATGCAAGGGCTTTTTTTATGCTTCCTTCAAATAGCAAAAAAAATTTTGAGAAAAATTTTTTCTGTATTCCGTATTTTCTCATGCTGTTCACACTCACCTGCTTTGCCAGCAGCAGTGAGAAAAGACATTGAACTACCCTCATTGCAAGCAATACTTAAGATTTTACAGTTAAAATTACTACTTAATCTTAATACTTAAGATTACAGC